CTGCTTCTCCTAATGTCAAACCAAAATCTACCCTTCTTGTAACAACTTAACATAGATCTATGTGATATGCACATCATACATTTAAAGCATGTTGCTTCCTCTAAAAAATCCTGAGATTTTTAAGTTTAACCCTTGCAGAGCTATGTTTTCCAGGACCCTAAGCAAACTACAGTTCCCAGAATTCTTTAGGGACGCGGGTGGCGCTGTGGGTTAAACCACAGAGCCTAGGGCTTGCCTATCAGAAGGTTGGTGGTTTGAATCCCCGCGACAGAGTGAGCTCCCGTTGCTCGGTCCCTGCTCCTGCCAACCTAGCAGTTTGAAAGCACCTCAAAGTGCAAGTAATAAATAGGTACCGCTCTGGCGGGAAGGTAAACAGCGTTTCCGTGCGCTGCTCTGGTTCGCCAGAAGCAGCTTAGTCATGCTGGCCACATGACCCGGAAGCTGTACGCCGGCTCCCTCCGCCAATAAAGCGAGATGAGCGTCGCAACCCCAGAGTCAGCCACAACTGGACCTAATGGTCAGGGTTCCCTTTACCTTTACCTTTATGCGTTGAAAATGTACTTTGAATGGCATGTGTTTTAAATGGTGTGTAAAGCCTCAGGGTTCTGTAATTGAGAAGAGGAGGGGCGGATTGGCAATGACTCCAAAATCTATGAAAATAATCCTTTATCTCTTAAAAGTAAACAACAACAACAACAAACTATTCACATAACCAGTCAATGACCCATTATACAAACAAATACACACTGCACAAAGCAAAGCATTCCAGAAGCACACAACTCAAACCACTGTGGGTTCCTTGGCAATAGAGGATTTATTAACAAACAATGTCAGCTAACTGTTGCTATTTAAGTCTGGCACAAGTCCATCTGGCACAGGTCTTTCAGTCTGTCAGAATTCACTTTTCTTTCTGTTCACTTCGATTTCTTCCAGTTCTTCCTCTGGTTGTGTTCTTCAGCTTCTCTCAGATCTCATGTTATTCCTGTCTTGATTTACTTGAGGCCTCACTTCCCATTTGACAATTCTCACCATTTTGTGCTCCTCCCCTTTGTACATCTTGTCTTGTAGAGCCCTTAGGAGCAGGCATGGCACTAACCTTGCCCTCTGGAGAAACAAAGAACAAGTCTTTGCTCTCTTCTGTGTGACAGCTCTTTAGATATTTGAAGAGTTCTACCATGCCCCGCTCAGTCTTCTCTTCTCCAGGCTAAACCTATTTAGTCCCATCTCCCTTTCCTAATAGCACTTGTTTTTATACCCCCGACCATTTTTGTCGCTCTCCTCCAAACCCATTCCAATTAAGGACGCACTCATTCTTCGCCTGCCCCTCACATGATGGGGAAAACATGAGGTACCAGGCCAAGTTCAGAGCCCTGCAGCAACCCTCCCTCCAGTTTGATGAGGAACTATTGATGAGAACTCTTGATAATCACCTGTGAATCCACATGGCTGTATTCTCATATAACCTGCATTTAACCAGTTTGCTAATCAAAATGTAGTATGTGTGTGAGAGAGAGTGAGTGAGTGAGTGAGTGAGTGACAGGTGCTTTTTTGAAATCAACATAAGATTACTTCAATGCATGGAGCTATCTCTGAAGACAAATTGGAAACTTCAGCTGGAGCAGAATTTGGCGGCCAGGTTGCTCACTGGGGCAAGATGGTTTGAGCATATTACACCAATCCTAGTGCAACTGCACTTGCTGCCAATTAGTCTCCAGGCCCAATTCTAAGTGCTGGTTTTGACCTATAAAGCTAAAAAGTCACAACCATAATACCTCGAAGTCCACCTCTCCTGATATGAACCAACCCAGGCCCTGCGATTCAGGCCCTTCTTAATGTAGCCCCTCAACAAAAGGTCTGGAGGGCAGCAAAAGGAAGTGAGGCCTTTTCTGCAGTGGCTCCCTGCTGGTGGAATGCTTTCCCTAGGGAGGCTCGCCTGGTGCCTTCATTACATATCTTGAGGTGCCAGGGGATGATGTTTCTCTATGACCAGGCCTTGGCTGATTAAACATTCTTTGGCCTTTTAAATGTGTTTGTGGGAGGAGGGTTAGTGATTTGCTTTTGTTTTATTATGTATTTTGTGTTCTCGTTTTGTATTTTTAAGTTGTGAACCACCATGTGATCTTTGAATGAAGGGCAGTGTACAAATTTAATAAACAATAAAACAATAATCATTATGGCCGCAGCATCCCCAAAATCTGCTAAACTGGTAATCATGCAGTGCTAGAAAGTAAAGTTGACCCCCTGGGAAAGATGAGAGCTCTCAGCTTCACCCTGCTTGTGTATAGCAGCCACTTTGATGGGACAAATATAAGATCAGTATGGTGGTTGGTGTCAGTAGTGCTCCCGAGCACACACAGGTTGTGCTTTCTTGTGTCCTGCTTTAAGCAGTGTCTTGGATTTTCCAAGTGGTGCTTAGCTGCGATCCTGAAGTACAAATCCTTCTGCTAAAAAAAATCACAGTTCATGATTGCCCCACTACTCCAACTCCATTTCAAAATGCTGTGTGCATACCTCCTCTATTAGATATTGGAATGAGCCATGGTGTGCTGGAAGTTGCAGCATGTCTGTGTGTTGTCCCTGGCAAGATGTGAGTAGCTTACTAGGGAGGTAAGAGGGCCACTTAAAAATAAATCACAGTGAAGTGTTAATCACATCAGTGAATGTGGTATTCCTCAGAAGTAGTTGTCATTACAGCAAATATTACCTTATGAAATTAATCTTCTTAATGTCCTAAAGCCTTTCCTTCAAAACAGCTTATGAGAACGCCCCGTTACAGAATCCTGGCAGTTCTAAATTGATTACACTTGCTCTGAGATTATAATTTTGTGTGTGGTTTAGCCAAATCCCTTTTACTCTCTCTATTTTTGTTGGCTTTTCATTCCACGTTGTAGTGATTGTTTCAGCAAAAAGGAATTTAGGCAAACCTTCTTGGAAACATGAAATAGTTCCTAATAAGCTAGTTTGTTTTTGCACATGTGTCATAACCTACAGTGAAGCAGCAAATAGTACTGTTGCCTCAGGTGTTAAATTAGCAATGAAGTGGAATGCAAATGAAGTAATTGCTGTTTACACCCTTCAAAGCCCTACAGCCTGTATTGATAAACTTTGGAGCAGTTAGAAGTTCCAAAAGTCTCCTTTACAGTTGAAGCACATTGGAGAATGTTTCACAGGATAAGCACTCATCCATTTTTTTTTATTTTTTGTGGCCTGCCTTCTTTTCTGGGTGGCTCTCTGATCCATGTGATCTTCCCCCACTTTGGGGTTGTGGGGTGGAAATCACACAAACCAGATCTCCTCAAGATTGGATGCTAATGTGGAAGGCCCAAGTTATGCAGCAGTGTGGTTGGGAAGGGACTTGCCCTGGTCTTCTACTATGTTGTTGTCAGTGCTATTTTTCTAGAAAATGAGGTGCTGGAACTCACCATGACTGCTTCCCTGGTTCTCTTACGATGGCAATGGTGCCCACCTGAGAGTTGCCAGAACTGAGTTCCTGTGAGTTCCCCCTGAAACAAAGCCCTGGTTATTGTGGTGGTGCCTTGACCTGAACATTTGAGCCAGACACAGTTGTATGTGGTTCTGAATCGTGGGATCCATGTCCGCAACCAAGGATCATTTTTGTTCTGCTCATATTACATTGCTTTCTATTTTGAATATTTTATTTGTTCACACAATGCATATATAACCATACACTAAATAGTAAATGCCTTTTAAAGGGAAAAAGAAGAGAAATCCATGCATGCAAGTCATGTCAAAATATATTTTTTCTTAAGCGTCAAGCACATTCCCCCCCCCTTATGTCATGTGTTTTGTTAAATGCATTCCATATTTATTTGATTCTTTAAAAAATATTTATGTTGATTCATTGTGTTAATTTTGTTTGACTGTTATAAGCATGATTTCTCATATGTTTATTTTGTTTCTTTTAGGTTCTGTTTTGTTTCATAAGATCCCACTGGATGGGTAAATGAAATAAGGAAAAAAAAGAGAGGGGGCGTGTTGAATCTATGTGCTTCTCACTAGGCAGTGGACATGTTGTTGTGCTGTCAATGCTACACTCCTTGGACCTCTCTTGTAGAGATGAGTTATGTTTGGAGGACTCTGGAAGTATGCACTGTTTTGGCAACTTCATTTCAAAATCAGCCCCAGGCAGCTATAAAGAAAGCACAAAAATAAACTGTTGTATTCCGTAGCAACGTTCCTGCTCACAAAGTGGCATTTTAGCAAAGTTCCACAGTATTATTTCAATTCGATTGTTTGCTTGAACTTAGCTGGAAAGAGAATTAATTTTATAGATAATATTTATTAAAGGTGAACTGCAAATACTTTGTGTACTAAAAAAGTTTAAATGTTTTATGTCCTCATTTTACAGATTCTTATATTCCAGCCTTTGAATTATAACATTCATACCAATGGCGCAATTGCTCACTTAAAACCTGAGCGCTTGCATGTTTGCAGGACTTTGATCAAACATTCTAAAACCAATAAAAAGTAGTTCCGCAAAGCTTTCTCAATGTAAGTAGTGTTTAGCATGGGCTGGTGTTTCTGGAGAGAAAATAAGCTGTAAAAATTGCCTCTTAACATGCTGCAGTTAAGGCATTGTTTAGCAGTGTGCCATCTCATGTTCAAAGATCACTCTTTGCTATTCTCAAGAAATCGGTTAGTCAGGAAACGTTATATGACTCTCCACCACTGCTACCATTAAATAAAATATCCTAAATTGCTGTATGTGCAGTTCAAGTACTTGCATGGTCTTCTAGGTCTCGAACCCAACAGCAGTACTATTGCCATTACTCTCATACAGCATTACCACCCTTAAACACTTAGGTTGCCCATATACCGTATTTTTTGCTCTATAAGACTCACTTTTCCCCTCCTAAAAAGTAAGGGGAAATGTGTGTGCGTCTTATGGAGTGAATGCAGGCTGCGCAGCTATCCCAGAAGCCGGAACAGCAAGAGGGATCGCTGCTTTCGCTGCGCAGCAATCCCTCTTGCTGTTCTGGTTTCTGAGATTCAGAATATTTTTTTTCTTGTTTTCCTCCTCCAAAAACTAGGTGCGTCTTGTGGTCTGGTGCGTCTTATAGAGCGAAAAATAGGTGCTGTGGTGGCATCTGAGGCAGAAGGAACCCTTTTCAGATAGCTCTGAAAAGTGCCACATCTCTCACTATATCACAGCCTTCTCTGCTAAATATAAAAAGCATGGTGGGTTCTGTGCAGTTGCCCAAGAGGTTTCATTCTCAAAGGAAAACTGTTCTGTGCAGCAAAGGAGCACAGAATAAGTGTCTAACATCTCGTTGCCTAGCCCTGCCAGTCCTTTGTCATCTCCAATATAATTCACTTATGCACCTCTGGGAATGAGACTGATTCTTTCTCCTGATTGGTATGAACTTATATTTGGTGTTAATGGACTGGAAACCATTAAACAAAAGGTGGTCAACAAAACAAATGCTCTATTTTGCTTATTCCGGCCTCCTCCCAGCTGCAAAGTTTCATGTGTGTAAAAAAACATCAATAGACGGATATCTTAAATACCAAACTGAGAATTGCCAAACTTCAAAATAGTCTCAATTTTTCATTCTTTAAAGAAGCTTCCAGACGCACTTCTTGTCACATTATAGGTTTAGGATCTTTATCAGTATTTCTATAAAACATTCTTGTAGTATTTTGCAGTTCAACTTTAAGGTACACAGGTACGACAGATTATTTTGGATTCTATGTAATCAAGGCATTTATTTTGATAAAACAGAATTGATTTGTGCACCACCAATTTATATATGCACACAGGCAATATAGGATAATCTGGGTATTTTTGTATTCCACATTAGCCACCCAATGCACTGTTCATGCTATAGTTACTCACAATGTGTTATGGATTACAGCACATGGCTATTTGCTGTTTGTGTTTTGGCAGTAGCCATGCTTAAATAATGAAATAGGCCATGCTTTGCTTGCCGGTTTCCTTTCCAATATGGGAGCAGATAAAGCTTACTGAAGCCAAATTTTGAAGTTGGAACTTGCAGTATGCTTATTTCATTTGGATTACTAATGACCCTGCCTGTCACTCTAGATATTTTAATCTGTCCAAATAGTGTTGAGTTTACAAAGATCATGGTTAATTATACAATTACTGACCCCTTAAACCACAGTGAAAATCACCCCAAGAAATCTGCCAGGGCCATTAAAATAGTTAAAGGTGTAGCTTTCATTGCTAAAGTGGTGTTAATAGTATCTTTCTAGGTGGTAAAAGGGACGCGGGTGGCGCTGTGGGTAAAAGCCTCAGCGCCTAGGGCTTGCCGATCGAAAGGTCGGCGGTTCGAATCCCAGCGGCGGGGTGCGCTCCCGCTGCTCAGTCCCAGCGCCTGCCAACCTAGCAGTTCGAAAGCACTCCCGGGTGCAAGTAGATAAATAGGGACCGCTTACTAGCGGGAAGGTAAACAGCGTTTCCGTGTGCGGCTCTGGCTCGCCAGATGCAGCGATGTCACGCTGGCCACGTGACCCGGAAGTGTCTCCGGACAGCGCTGGCCCCCGGCCTCTAGAGTGAGATGGGCGCACAACCCTAGAGTCTGTCAAGACTGGCCCGTACGGGCAGGGGTACCTTTACCTTTTTTAGGTGGTAAAAAGGGTTTGTAGAATGCTGAAAGTCTGTTTTACACATTGATAAAACCTGAACGGGTAGAATAGTATATTTTTATTTCCAGTAGTTGTGCCTACCTAACTGTCGTGCTGACTAATTGCAGCATACATTAAAAATCAGTCCTTGGCTCTTGCTGGGGGGCGGAGGTGTTAAGAACCAGAATCTGAAACTACTATCATGTTCAGAAACTATTCACTTAGGTTGAGCAGCTTCAGGTCTGTAATAAAACTGTATCCTTTCTTGCTGAATTCTATTGGGAGTTCTGCTATTGGCAGGCATGGCTAGAACATGGTACCTTGTGTAGAGTGTATATATTTGATCAAGCCCTGAATGCCCACTTAATCACAGACACGTTAGTGTTCCATAACATAAAGTTCACAAGGAATGTCACCATTTAAAAGGGGTAGCTGCCCGCCTTTAAATTTCCTAGAAATTAATTTGTACGCGTTGCTTACATTTTATCATCTTATAATGTGGGTTTCCTTGTGCAATATAGCTAACTACTGTCCAGCTGTATAGCTCAGGCTTTGACTCATTTTCATTCTTTAGTTACTAGAACTGTTCTTAGCAAATGACAGTGTAAAGCTGACACATTAAGCTGAATTGTGACCATTTTCATTTAGCATTTTAAAAAATAAAGAGAAAAAATGAACTCGTTTAATTATGTAAATTGTGTGGATTAAACAGGACTGTTCTGGAAAAGTGGGGGCGGGGAGTCAGAATATGGATATTACCTTCATCAAGTGGAGTGAAAAACACTCCCAAACTAGTTCTTCTTGGGTTCCTGGTTTTAGATTGTAGGCTACTAAGTTGGTGCTACTGGGGAGAGTTAGGATGCAGCAGAAGGACCCATCTGCTGGCATGAAAGAAATTGCCTGACCACTTCCGTGAGCATTTCCATGTGGAGTGATGTTAAAGCAGCCTTCACATAAGACTCACAAAGTCATTGGTTGCCTGAGAGGTGGGGAAGCTCTCCTGCCATGGGGGCTCCATTGCATCTAAAGAAAGCAGCATGGCAGGGCCGCTACCACCCGCAATGTTTCCACTAGTGGTAATAATAATAATAATAATAAATAATAAATTTTTATTTATACCCTGCCCTCCCTGGCCAGAGCTGGGCTCAGGGCAGCTAACATCAGTAAAATTACAATAAAAACATAATGGGGGCCCCAATTTAAAATACAGGTTAAACAAATAATTTAAAATGCAGCCTCATTTTAATAGTAGCCCATAGATCAAAACCAGAAGGGGAGGGAAACATAAGGGTCAGACTGAGTCCAACCAAAGGCCAGGCAGAACAGCTCTGTCTTGCAGGCCCTGCGGAAAGATGTCAAGTCCTGCAGGGCCCTAAGTCTCTTGTGACAGAGCGTTCCACCAAGTTGGGGCCAGTACTGAAAAGGCCCTGGCCCTAGTTGAGCCCAATCTAACCACCTTGTGACTTGGGACCTCCAAAGTGTTGTCATTTGTGGACCTTAAGGTCCTCCACAGGGTAACCAACATAGGGCCTAGAATTGAGGTACGACAGAACTGACCACAGGCTCACTGGATCCTAAGCTATTCCCCATCTTCTTGAGCAGGGCCTGGTTCCCCTCTCCCCATAATCTTCCCCCCTGATGACCATGCCCGCAATGCAGGGGTCAATCCAAGCAGAATTTGGATTGTTCTGACCTCTAATTAAATTATTGCTTCCATGTGAGTTTGGGGGGGTGTAAACTTGAAGTCTCCCACAATACCACCCATTTAGATTCCTATCGTAGAAGTGGATTAATGTTCTCCTGAAAGTCCTGCTCTCCTGTGTTTCATTAGTTGAAATCTTCCAAGCACTTATCTTAGAAAAGTCACACTGACTTTAGGGTCACTACTCTTAAGTAAGTGGTTTGAAGATTTTGACTAGTGAAGCTACCCAGTCATGGGATTGCCCGTCGCCTGGTCCATATGTCTCATTGAACAAGGTACAGTTTAATATGAATGAAAAAAATTTCACTGCGCTTCTTCCTCATGCCTTCCCACTACCAGGAAACAAGCCAGAGTCTGGCTTGTCATAATGTCCAAAGCCTAGTTTGTTTCTCTCCAAAGAAACAAGTGGGAACATCATTTTTTATTCTTGGCTTCCTGCACAAGCCCAGGTTTGGACGTCGCAAGAGGCGGGGAGGAGCGCAGTGAGAAATTTTCAGCTGTGTCTACCAACTGCACATTCACACTAAACCATGGCTGATTTTTAGCTATGGTTTAATGTGTACAATACTCTGCTAGCCCATTCATACAGTACTGTGCCTTACAGAGGAAGAATAGCAGGATTTATTCCCCTAGCCTGAACAAGCTGATGATGACATATTCAGCATTTAATTGATTTGAGTTTAGATCAAATCTAAACACCCATAATTCCTGACATATGCATAATGTAAATATGTTTACAATTTAATTAAATCACATCAAAGCTTTAATATAGCTGCTATTAGAAGGCACCGTTTATTTTGGACCATAGGATTGTATCCAGTGCTGCAGCCCAGCTGTTGCAAGGGACTTCTGTATGCACAACAGAACTTCCTTTTTCTCTCCTTTCATTCTCCCATGGACCCTCAAAATTAGCTCTAGAGGATTGGAAGACCCTCTGGAGCAGGGTGGTTTTTTTTGGGGGGGGGTTGGAGGAAGGAAACAGAAGTCCTATTGTAGCAGTGGAACCTCACTGGAACAGTACTAGATACAGATTGTAGTTCCATTTGAGTAAGAGGAAAATTCTCATCATTTGCTGTAATCCATCAACAATGTGAAACTTTAGATACTCTGCCTGCAATTCATCTTAAAGGGAATTATATATATATTTCTTGTAAATAATTGACAATCACTGATTTTATTTCAAAGCACGATCTTGACAATATGGACAGACTGTACTTGCTGAAATTTCTAAACTTCTTTTTAACAGGCCAATAAAGTTTTATAATTCATTACCATTGTGTCTTGCATTTTTTGTAAATGTATGTAGCGTCCACCTAGTCCTTCATCAGTGAAAGTCTAACCAGAAATGGAATCCATTGATGTATCATTCTTATGTTTTGATTTATTTTGTTTCTCTGAAATTTGTAGATATTTATGTATGTTTATAGTCTGGTGCTTTTCTAAAATATGTAGCTGGTAATGTTTTCCTCATAAATTTATTTGAAATTTAGAGTATGGGGTGTGTTCAGACAAGTAAAAATCACTCCATTTCCAAATTGAAATTAAGGGAAATGTAATATTTTGCTGAGACAAATATATGTGGTTAATCCAGCATCCCACAGTTATTTAGCATTTTGATGATAATTGGGAATCCCTTAGACTACTAAACTAAGTCTCCAGAGCATTTTCTGATTTGCATTATGGTAAAATGGGGGGTGGAAGGGGATGAAGGGAATGTGCAGATAGAGATGGGATAAGAAAAAGGATGAGGTCACTACATGAATGGGCAGAACGACTGAGGAAGGAGTAAATTGTCATAGTTACTTGCATTCCTGGATCAAGCATCTTAGCAATGTCTCTGTCACTTTTGTTTTAAACACTGCAATGTCAAAATGAACTGATAAGAAACATCTTACAGGTAAGAAACCATGACGGCTGGAACTATGCCAGTTTCTTAACACAACTTTAATAGAAGGGGAACAAATATGATTTCCCAGTTAGGTAATACTGTAGAGATAAAAGGTAAAGGATCCCTGGACGGTTAAGCCTAGTCAAAGGCAACTATGGGGTTGCGGCGCTCATCTCACTGTAAGGGCGAGGGAGCCAGCATTTGTCCACAGACAGCTTTCTGGGTCATGTGGCCAGCATGACTAAACCGCTTCTGGCACAATGGAACACCGTGACAGAAACCAGAGCACACAGAAACACCGTTTACCTTCCTGCCACAGCAGTACCTATTTATCTACTTGCACTGTTATGGTGCTGTGGTCTAAACCACTGAGCCTCCTGGGCTTGCCGATTGGAAGGTCGGCTGTTTGAATCCCTGCAACGGAGTGAGCTCCTGATGCTGTGTTCCAGCTCCTGCCAACCTAGCAGTTCGAAAGCACACCTGTGCAAGTAGATAAATAGGCACTGCTATGACAGGAAGGCAAATGGTGTTTCCATGCACTCTGGTTTCCATCACGGTGTCCTCTTGCACCAGAAGCGGTTTAGCCTTGCTGGCCACGTGACCCGGAAAGCTGTCTGTGGACAAAGGCTGGTTCCCTTGGTCTGAAAGCAAGATGAGCGCCGCAACTCCATAGTCGCCTTTGACTGGACTTAACCATCCAGGGGTCCTTTACCTTTTTTACCTTTTAATACTGTAGATCAGGGGTCACCAGTCTTTGGTGTCCTGTGGGCAGAAGCTGGAACCCCACATAAGTGCTACAACCACTCATACACCACCATGCAGCAGTTAATTCTCCCCCTAAAGTCACCCCTCGCACTGCAGTTAGGCTTGAAAAAAAGCTGCCTATTGCTACAATAGAAGGCTGCTTTCAAGCCTAATTTCACCAGGGGAAGGGGAGGACCCTGCAGGTGCCAGGGAAATCTTCCCTTGGCATATGGGTGCCCATTGGTGCTTCCTGTCATAGAACTGGCTTCATAGGTAAGTTTGTTTGTTTGTTTGTTTGTTTGTTTGTTTGTTATGCTATTCAGTTTCACTTGAGGTTTATTGCCTTTTAGGACCCTTCTCTTAATCAGGATATGTGTGGAACGTGTCCCAGTTCTGACCAAAGAGGTCATTTCAACTGGAGAAATGAAAGGGACCAGAAATGTGTACAGGACTCATCAATCTGGTGGTGTTTCCACTTTAATGGTGCCTGAGATAGTGGAAGGCATTGTTCTTCTTCTGCTTGCTCCCACCCAAGGGTGGCTAATCTGTGTGCCTCCAGGTGTGTCTCCAGTCTAAGTGGAGGATCCTAGCAGGGAGCAAAGGGTTAAACCCCCCCCCACTACATTGCAGGTCCTACACTGGCAGTTTGTGCAAAACAACAACACCTGCACAGCTGCATAGCCATAGCACAATGTTGTTTGGCCCTGACATGCTTAAGGAATTGATCAACCCCAATTTTGCCTGAGTGCCCTTGCCAAGACAATGGAACAGCTGGACTCTCTAGAATAGCCTTTCTCTTTTTCTTTTTTTTTTAAAGCGTTTATTAATTTTCCAATTAAAACATCTAATTAACATATCAAATCAAATCCAATGAAAATAAAAAACTAAAATTTAAAAAAAGTCCAATTATCTTCCAAATTGTAATATTTTTTCTTTTGGCTTCCCACAATCTGAATTCCGAAGCGCTTTCAACATCATAGTCCTGCCTCTCATCATCATCAATGTTTTTCATAATTCCATATCCGATTTTTTCCTCCACGTTTTGACTCTGGTTAGCCTTTCTCAACCTGTGGGTCCTCAGATGTTATTGAACTACAACTCCCATCACCCCTAGCTAGCAAGGCCAGAGCTCAGGGATGATGGGAGTTGTAGTCCAACAACATCTGGGGACCCACAGGTTGAGAACCGCTGCTCTAGAACTTTCCACCACATCTGGCAAGTCACCTTATTTAAAAAGGCCTCAGCGTGTTCCTTTAGATGAGGCCTGTACGTTCCATGGGCGTAGACAGTATTTTTGTTAGGGGGGCAGGCTTTTGTAGGGGGAGGCAGAACCTCAGATATGT